TCCCTAGATTATCACATATAGATATAGCTATATCCACTCCCATATATATGAGCACATCCTACGCAACCCTATCACTATCTACCTATACCTATACATAGTTGCAATTAACTTCTAGATACTCCTATTATATATCTCTATCCCACCCAACGTATCTGCTCCTCTTATACTCTATCGGAGAGGCAGGGTACCCGCCTTCAGGAAGGATAGCTCTACTATTATCTCATGTGATCTTACAGCCCTCCTTGCGGATACCTATTACTACTATAACTAAAGTAGTCATCTACCATATAACTATAGCATACACATACTATACACCTCACCTTACCTTGCCTTAGAGCCATGGTGGTGGTCTCCGAGAGTGCCACTCGAGGGGAGTAACATCCCTACGGATTGGTAGACTTATAGTCTCTTGAACCTTTTCTTCTTATATCTTCCCTATGTAGTACCATATTACCTCACTTAGCTATTAAATATATAGATGTGCTTAGATCTAATCCTTATTTTTATACTCTTACCACTGTAAGGTGTAACTCATTTAAGGAGCTAATGGATAAAATACTAATACTCTCAAGAATTCTACTTCACATCTGTAGATGACTTCTGATGAAGGAAGGTAATTATGGCGATAGATAAGCATAACTTTACACCTCAAAACACGAAATAAATTAGATACTTTATCAAATAATTACATGAACCTCTTATGCTGAATAATACATCTCTGCCAATAGGCTTAGGGAGAAGATGTCCACAGCTTTGGGTCTACTCCCCGCCTCTGACAGGGGGAGAGAGGTGCTCCCATGTGCAGGGTAATAGATACAATCTAAAGGTGTACTCCTGTGTATTTTTTTTGGGGGTGGGGGTGGGGGGGTGTGTTAACTTAGCTATGATGATAGTCTGTCTGTCCATTATAAGGTAGGAAGATCTTATTGTAGACAGACATCAACTCCTTACACTCAGAATAGCTTCTGAACACAGATCTGGACCCCACCAAAGTCAGATTACCGCTAGGTTTAGTAACCTCTTTTACCCTTAATTAGTAGATTATTCTGTTTGCATCATTGAGAGAACTCCCTACTCCCTACTTTCCTATTTTATGCTAACCTCTCTTAAGGTGGTCCCCAGGGGGGCTAACGATGGTATGAAATGTCCCTCCTGTCTCGTATAAATTATAAGAACAGATATTGCTTCAAGTCCTAGCCTACCCTAACATCTGTAGCTACATAACTATCGAAGATAGCCTGCACCCCCCGTAAACGTACGGGGCACTATCTCTATTACTAGGCATATACACATATAGGTGGGATACAAGTGCCCTACAAATCTTTCATCCCTATTTAACATAGGATAGATACTATACCCTGTTTATAGACTATGCTCTATTGTAGTGGTCTAGTCGAATCTATAAAGTAAAAGTGTCATCCTTCATCGGACTCGAACCCATACTCTTTACCGATTTAGCCACTACCCCTCCACTCAGAGGGTGGCCATCAAATATTAGCCTTCCCCCATAGTCACATGGGAAATATATACTTTCCCATGTAGAGGTTTACATAGAGATGATCTACTCTATCTACACACACCGAAGTTATATTGAGGATTAGTCGATCATCTAAAGGGGTAACTATTTATTAGAATGACTATAGATAGTTAGCTAATCAAAACTTTATATGGAGTATCTTTGTAGATAATATAAACAGAGGGGGGGGGTACTATCTCTAGTGTAACAGGGCCCGCTGCTGTCCAATTGTATTGATTTGTCTAGCTAGGCTACTACCGGGAGTGTATAGATAACTAGTTACTTCAAGGTCCTATCCTACTGCTATTATTACTATTATATATATTACCACACTTTTTACCCCC